ATTTGGGGGGGGGTGATGGACCTTTATTTTGTTTATTTATATGTGGTGCTGAGAATTGAACCCAGTGCCTCACACATGCTATGCAAGCACTCTACCACTGAGCCACAATCCCAGCACCCCCAGCCTTTTTTAAATATTTTATTTTGTGACAAGACCTTGCTAAGTTGCTGAGGCTGGCTTTGAACTTGCAATCTTCCTGCCTCAGCCTCCTGAGCCGCTAGGATTACAGGTGTGCACCACCATGCCTGGCTTCCTTTAGCCTTCTCTAGCTAGCCCTGGGTTTGAGCTCTTCAACTCCATCACTATGGCCCTGGGGGCTCCTCACCCTACCCAGGTCCCAGGCTGAAGTTTTGCTCATTAGTTGAAGATCTAGCAGGGCCTGTTTTCCCCAGAGGCCACCCAGGCATGGAAAAATCATCCTGGTACTCTTGGGAATTGTAGCAGCAGGGGCTTCCCCAGCAAGATGGTAGATACTGCTTCTGGGTCAGGGGTTTGCCTGTTCAGCTACAGGAGGGGTAGATCCTCGCTTTGTGCTCTCTGGACTAGGGTAAGGCAGGACTCTCAAGTGCCAAGGATACTCTGGCCTTATTTTCTATAAGCCATTTGCTGCTTCTCACACTCAGCTCCTTCCTGCCATTTTCCTTCCCAGAGTACCCTGTCTTCTGGCTCTACCAGTCTGTCTTGTGTGTCCTCTGGGTCTGGCCTCAGTACATCTTTTCCAAGGGGCTGTGGATTTAGAGTGATTCTGCAGATCCAATAGTTAGTTTTTTCTGAGGGCCCCACTGTATTCTGGGGCCTTTCTATATGCTCTCTAGGGTCACAACAATCTCAGCAGGCAGACTCTGGAGGAGTCCTCAGCAAATGGCTGAATGGGAACTGGAACCAAGGAGGGTTGTGTGACACAAGACCTGGGCTCTGCAGAGCACATCGTAGTGCTGTCTCTCCAAATATTGAAAGGAAAGACATTTCGGCAGGAAGGAGTATTCGGGGAACTGTCTGAGGTTGAGTTGGGCTGGCAAGAAAGCCATGGGCCCAGTGATGCCCTGGGCACCGGGGCGGGTATTGTGGTTGAGGCCAGGGAATACCTACACTGCCAGCATTTCCTGTTGACCTGGGGGAGTTGTAGGCAAGTGAGGCCAGACCCGGCCCTGGGCTCCTGGGCTCCGAGAAAAACTCCCTCCAGGAAGTGTCTGAATTTAAGGGGATGGTGAGAATAGGTGGCTCTCCCGGGGTCATGGCCTATAAGAAGTATTTCCCATGCATTCTGTCACTGAATCTTGGTGACAGCCCTGTGAAAAATTATGTGACCAGGGAAAGTGTAGAGCATTTGGGGCCAGACAAAACTGTTAGACTCGTTTGCAGAGTGACCTTTTCCACAACTCAAACAGACCCTTGCACATCCCTTCCCACTGTCTTCCTGGGACTCCAGATGCTCTCTCTGACCTGCCTGCCCTACTCTGTCAGAATCAGGCCACAGACAGTTTTTCCCCCTCAATCACCTTGTGTGTTTGCCCTCTGAAGCCTTCAGGGGCTTCCAGCCTGGACGGGTCTGGAGCACTTCCTCCCCAGAGCTGATTTTGGGCAGGGGTGTACTGGGGATTAAACCCAGGAGCGCTTAGTCACTGAGCTACATCCATAACCTTTTATTTTAAAAAAAATAACAGCAGAAGGGTTTTGTTATCTTTTGTTATTATTATTTTAAATTTTGAAGCAGGGTCTTGCTAAGTTGCTGAGGCTGGCCTTGAACTTGCCACTCTCCTGCCTCAGCCTCCTAAATTGCTGGGAATCATAGGCGAGCACCACCACGCCTGGCTTTCCCAGAGCTCTTGTAATATATCTGATGGCATCAGAAAGTGGCCCAAAAGGTCACCCAGAAGGAAAGAATGACTAAAACACAGGTCTTGGCCCTTAATGTCTGCTCAGGCAAGAACTGCCACATTCCACATTCCTGGCTGCCCCATACACCATCTTTACCAAATTTCTGATAGATTTTTTGTGCTAGAACACGTAGCTTGACCCTAAACCACACACCGGCCTCATTATCATTATTTCTCTGCGTGTCCGGCCTCTAGAGGCCTCCACAGCTTGGGAGTGGGGAAGTATGGAATTGGGGGCTGTGAAAGTTTGGGTAGTATTGGCAATATGTGAACCCCTGCCCTGGCCCTCTGGGCATCACTTAGCCCTATTTAAGCACCTTCTGTATGAATCCTCCCCCAGGAGTCCTAGAAGGTTGGTTCTGGGTTTATTCCCACGTTACAGGAAAGAGAACACTCTTTGAGAGGGCATGGGCCTAACCCATGATCTTAGTCAAGAGCAGGCAGGCTGGTCCAGGACCTGGGTGCATTGCCACCCTTCGGCTCCTTGAGCCTTCTTCCTCATCTGTGACATAGGAACAATGTCACAAGCTCAGAGCTGTTGAGAGGATGATTTTAAGGCAAGACAGCACAAGCATGTGAGAGTCCTGTAACAGATGGGGCTCCTTGGCTACCAGGGTGGGATCACATCTGAGGCCACTACCTCAGCCAAGCTGCTTATGCATGTGGGCCCCTGCCAAGTCCCCCATCCTGGGAGCTGGGGGATGAGTGGTCTGCCCAGGCTAGCGTTGCTGCTAAAGGCAACAGCCTCAGCTCCTCTGGGGTCAGGGCCCACATGAAGTACTTCCCAGGCTTTCTCACTGAATCTTGGTGACAGCCCTAAGAGGGACACATGTGCTCAGCGAGGCCACTGAGGCTCAGAGGAGTGAAGTCACCTACCTAACATCTGCTTGCCCATGCTCACCCTCCATCTGCCTCATCAGTAATCCTTGGATTTCCTGGGAGCCAGTGCCTTGCTCTCAGGCCACTGGGTGGACAAGTCCCTTTTCTTTTTGTTTGTGAATGTCCCAAGAGGAATTCTACTAGGGAATAAAGCCAAAAATAGGAAAAGGAGTTGGGTGAATGGGAAGAGCTCAGAAGAGTTCTCTGAACATGGCTGGTCTCTGCCTGCTCTGACTAAGACAGTCTCCGGGTGCCTCAACTCCACTCCAAGAGGACAGGACATTTGACCAAGCTACTCTGTCACCAGCTTTCACCAGGCCTGGTAGATTCTAGCAGGGTTAGGTCCCCTCCTAGGTTTCTGTCCCTAGGTGAGGAAGGCACTTAATGGCAGAGTCCTGTGGACACACTACCTTTAGGCCAACACTGACCCTGCCTCCCCTCTTTTTATGTACCTTCAACCTGTGGTCCCCAACCTGCTGTCATTAGATTATATCCACAGACTCTCCTCAATGCCAGGCTGGGTCACGTGTGGGGAAATGGGCAGCTGAGCCATCCCCTTGCCTGGGGGGAGCTAAGCCTTAGTGATGGGTTGGTGGAGGCTTCGCACTGCAGGCTGGAAGCGTCATGTTGCAGTGTGAACACAGGTGCTTTAGACAAAGGTGTGTGTGTGTGTGTGTGTGTGTGTGTGTGTGTGTCTCTGACCATTTGCCTTACTCTCCTCTATTTATAAAGTACAAACATTTGGTGGATCCAGTAATGGGTCCATAGGAATACCCTCTCTTATTTTTTGCACCTTTTCTATAAGTTGAAATTATATCAAAACAAAAAGTTACAAAATAAGAGGAGAATCCCTATCCCCACTAAGAACAAAGAGACTTAGAGCCCAGAGGAAAGGACTGAGAGGGCTTAGAGAGGGGACTACTGAGCCCAAGGAGAAGGGGTTTGGTGTTTGGGGTGCAGGACATGGCGGGTGTGAAGGTGAGGGGTTTTGGCAGACATGGTGTATGAAACCCTGCTGATCTATCCAACAACCCATCCAAAACACTCTCTGAGTACCCACCATGTTCGAGGGACTTTCCTAGCTCAGGTCTACTGTGCGAGGCCCCCCAGCCAGGCAGCGCCTCCTCATCCCGGGAGATTCGCTGCTGTCAGGCTGCTCCCCGGGTCTTGCTTCTTTTCGAGAGCAGCAACACCAAGCATGATCGTGCTTTCTTGGCCTCTGCCAGCTCCCAGGAGAATGGCTTCCAAATTTCTATCACAGTTGGTTTCCAACAACATCCAAATGGTTTGCAGTGAGCTGGGCAGCCCTGGCCATCTAGCCCACAAGTGCCAAGACAAAGGTTGGCCCAAGCAACCTTTTCCTGCTGCCTGAGCAAGTCACAGAGGGCCCCGTTGACTGTGGTGGCTTAGAAGTGTCAGTTTTGTGCTCAGGAAGTAGAAAAAGAGGCAGCTGGGCTAGAGTGCTTCTCAGAGCTCTCGAGGAACCTTCCTGTTCCCTAGAACTTTCTCTGGGCTCTAGCCCACCTCCCTCTGGTTGAGCGCATTCCCATGTTTCTGGACTAAGCTGAGAACCTTTATCTTTGAGAAATCCTTCCCTGAGCACCCCAGCCCTGCCAGGGGAAACGTCAACCTCCTGTCCTGTCCATCATGGTGACTTTTCTATCGTGGGGAAGAGCACAGACCCTGCAGTGGGTTGGTCCTGGCTCTGTGACTTTCTAGCTCTGGGACCTTGGACAAGTTACTTTGTATTTTATTTTCTTCATCTGCAATATGGCTGCCGAGTTAATGTTACAACAACATCTGCCCGTGTTAGTGCTGCAGCCAGGTGAGCTGCTCTTCCTATGCTGTGGTCCGCCCCCGCTGGGCTGCGGCGAGGAGGGGGTACCGGAACTGGCTGTATCAGGGAAGGCCATACTGGGGGTGCTCCATGGGGTTTGTCAGGTGTAGAAATCCATGAAACAAGCTCCTTGGCTGAGCCAAGGGGGTGAAGCACTGGCAGAGGGCCGGGAGCCCAGGTCTCAAGCCTGATTCTGCAATTCATCCTCTGAAAAGCCTTGGGCAGGGCAGTCCTGTCCCCTGCCTGAACCTCAGTTTTTCCTCCTTAAAACAAGGAGGATCCCAGTTCACACTCCCTTGAGACTAGCACTGAAACTGCCGCATACTACTGAATTCTGCATGGGTCGGGGTCGGGGGAACAGCACTGCATCGGCCTCCTCCCACGGCCATCCCCAGCTTGCCTCAGCCTGGGTCCTCCCCTTACCTGGGGCCCCTCCCTGGGGCCTCCTGCTGGTTTAGCTTCAGAAATGACTTTGACTAGTCCAGCCCCTCCAGTGTGTCATTTCCCCACTGGGTCTCACACGCTGGTCCCTGGCTGCCACCGCACACACACACCCTCACCTTGCGTTACCACCTTGCCAAAGACGGGCAGAGAGTCGAGTGTGGAGCAGTTCCAGCGCCGGTTCCGGAACTGGTACTGACATTCCTCGATGGCCAGCTGGGCGCCGCGGCGCACTGAGTCCATCACCTCCAGGTTCCGCTTGCACATCTGCACCTGCCTCTGGATCAGGCCCTTGAGCTTCTCACATGTCTCCTCCTCAGAGATGCTCCCCACTGAAGACAGCTTGGCCAGGTACCTGGGAAGAGGGGGAGAGGCCTGCAGAGCCCGCCCCAGCACCCCGCCACGGTCTTTGGGGGCCGATTTGTCCCAGGGACTGGTCCTTCTCTCTGGATCCAGTAACAGGCCTGCCCCTCCTGGTCTCAAGCTTGTGTGTGCAGTTTGACACGGGGACTGAGGCAATGAGACAGGAACTGGTCATTGTTTGCTGAGCCAAGGGAACGAATGAATGGCCACCGAATCGAAAGGTACATAGAAAGTCCTATTAAAATGTGGGAAATTTTATGACGATGATAATTAGCATAGCCAACTTTTATGGAACCTAGTCACAACTGGGCTAAGTACTTTATTGCATTTAATCCTCTCAGCAATCCAGTGAACCCCCATTTTAAAGAGAGGGACACTTAGGTGCATATGTGTATATGCAAAGTTACCCAGCCAGTGAGAGGTGGAGCAGGACTTGAACCTGGTTTGTCTGACTTCACAGCCTTCAGTAATGACAATTCCTTTATGTGACTCAAAGGCTAGAATCGACAGTGTGGACAGAAGCTGCTGGGAGCTGGGCTTGCTCAACCTAGGGATCAGGCCAAGATGCAGTCGGCTGCCCCTGGCTGTGGAGGTGTGCAGGCAGCAGCCAGGTTCTATTGGCCGGGCATGTGGGCTGGGCATGAGGGAGGGTTCTCCAATCTGGCTGTGCACCGGAAACATTTATGGGGCTTGAGGAACACTCAGGTTCCTGAGTCCCGCTTCAGGCAGGGCTTGGCGTGCATCTCAGTTTTGGACATGTCCCCAGGCACAGCTGGGAAGCCACTTGCCTGGGTAAGTACCAGTGATGTTTCTTCAGTCTGGGTGCCACTGTCCTCCTCTCTCAGTGTCAGCCCCAGGGGCAGCTTCCTCATCCCCTGTGTGGGCTGGAGTCTGGCTTTCCCTGTTTGTAATGGAGTGACAGTTCCTATCCCAGGGGGAAGTTGTGAGGGATGAACATAATTGGCAACGCCTCTGGGTGTCAGCTGGGCACATCCTAGGAGGGGGGTGTCGTAACAATCTCTTCCCTGCAGCCTAGTGGGCGAGTGGGAGGTGGGTGGGCTCAGGTGCCCAACCTCCCCTCCTTCCTGCACTCCTGTCTCCCAGGGCCCCTCTCCTGTCCCTTTCCTTTCTACCAGGTCCTACTCAGGGGATGTGAAGAGACTGATACGGTCCTGATGAGGCCCAGGCAGGAGCCTGAGTCTCTTGGAGGGGAGGACAGTAGGAAGAAGACTGAGAAGTGGGAGGAGGATGCATCTTGAACGGGGGCCAACTGGCATCTCAATGCTGCCTGAGTGCTCCCCACTATCATAGCTGAAGGAATTGGGGGTCTCCTACTGGGCCAGGCCCACCTATCGTGCTTGGCCTGCAGGGGGCGCCAAAAGCTCAGCACCTACTGGCGATGGGCCAGGTCACGCTTTGGGGAGGCCACAGGTGTCCTTCTGTGAGGGGATAAGGAGTTGCACCTAGCATTGGATCTTTTCCTGCTCCCACCCAGACTTGGCTCTCAGATAAAGGGTGAGGTCCCTATTGCCTTTTGACACAGGGGCACAGAACTGGCCTGCCCCCAGCTAGGCCACTCCTTCTGTATTCAGCAAGGGGACCACATCTGGCTGTGCCAGGCCCTAGCCTCTGGTTAGGGAAGTCATTCAAGGGCAGGGGGTCCCTAGGCAGGAGAAATAGGCTTTGGAGGCCTGGCTGAACCACCAGCTGTGACCTGTGGCAAGTCACCTCCCCACTCAGAGCTTCTGTTCATGGCATGATAAATGAGTAAGTCCCTAGGGCCTTTCCCTCTGTCAGAGTCGGTGGTCTTCCTCCTACTTGGCAGAAGTATGGAAAGGTTTCCAGGCCTCAAAGACCTCTAGTCCCATGCCAGGCTGATAGATGGAGCCCCTCTTGTTACCAGGGGAGAGATGGACCAGAGGGCAGCACCATCCTCCTCTAGGCCGGAAATGCAACAGGAAGATAGGCTGAAATGACAGCAACAGGGATTTAGGGAGCGCTGCTGGCCTGCCATGGCTGTGGGTCACTGGGGTAGTGTCCAGGAAGAAACCTCTTCGGTGGGCACCAATGCCCACTGCCTAGCCCCTTCCTCCCCTGGCACAACCCTTGCCCCTTGCAAGCATGTGAGGCCCAGCCTCCCCCAGCCCTGTGCTCCCAGAACCTAGGAGCTTGTCTGAGTGGTGGTGGTGGGAATTGGGCACCAGAGCTGAACACGGGCAAGGCTGGGGCTGGAGAGAGGAGCCCATCGGGGTCCTCGGTCTGCACCGTCTCTGCGTATCTATCCCAGCGTCTGGTTTTACAGAAGAGCAAACTGAGGCCCACAGAAGTGAGATGACTTCCAAAGCCCCACAGCCAGTCAGCAGCAGCAGCCCTGAGTCCCCTCTCTTCCCTGTGTTCCTGGCTATGGTCCTGCCCCCGCTGGATGGTTGGGGGCTGCCAACTCCCTCTGCATCATGTCTGGCCTTACATAGGGCTTGTCTTGGTGGGTCCCCTGTGCTCACCTACTGGCAGAGTGCTCAGGGCAGGGAGGGGCAGGGCTGAGGAAGGAAGGCGGGGCTGCTGCGGGCTTTGGGGACCCTAGGAGCTGGGCCCAGTTGGTCCCAAGGGCCTCCAGGGTCCCTCCTGGTGCCCTAAGGTGGCTCAACCTTTTCCCCAGAGACACATGTGCTACTTGCTGACCCTGGAGCAGGGTTGGGCTTGAATATTGACTGCCAAGCCACAGGGAGACAGGGCCTGATGGGTGTTGGCTGGTGCCGGCTGCCTGTGTGTGGAGGCCCCGACCATCCCTGCTTCTCCCGCCCTGGTGCGGTGTCCCCGTGTAGGCTTCTTCCTGCTGCTTCTGAGTCCAGGCTTAGCAATCTGCCACCTGCTGCCCTGGCCACCCAGGACTCCAGCCACTGCCCTGCCATCGATCAGGTTACCCCACCAGCCTAGACTGCCCCTGCCGGCTCCGCTGCCAGCCAGCTCGTGCCCTGGTCTTCTCAAATGGGGGCTATGGGTCCTTGAGGCTCCTCCCAGGAGGCCCTCCCCGCAAGGCCCGTGCACGCAGCCTGCAAGGCTGGAGGGCCCTGGCCCTGCCAGGGAGATCAGATCCTCTCGGCCACCTGCTGTTTTCATTAGAAACTAAAATTAGCTGGGCTTGTCCCAAGCTTTTCCAGGTTTGCTTGCTTTTTTAAACAAAATATACAAATTCCTAGAGGAGAATCTGCACCTCCGTGACTCCTCCCAGGCTCTCACTCTGCACATGGAGAGGAGAGGGGAAGGGAAAGAACTGGAGCCTTGGGGAGGCCAAGCAGGTCAGTGTTGCAGGTCCCAGCCGGAGGGTGTCCAGGTGGGGGCTGGGACGCCAGCCCAGGCTTCTCTGCCCCTCCCTTTGGCCTCCCTGCCTGCCCTGGCCACATTTAGAGCCTCCTCAGGAGTGGTTGTGCCTGCAATACCAGGGAGGAAGGAGGCCAGGCAAGCAGGAGGGGGAGCCGGAAGGAAATGGAGTGTCTGCTGAGCAGAGAGCTGCCTTGGGGACACGGCTGGGTGGAAGCAAGAGGACCATAGACCCACCCAGGTCCACGATCTTAAGGAGCCCCCAGGGGTACCTGGTTCCACCAGATCCTTGCCACACCCCCAGTCATGTCAGATCTCCCAGTGCTCCTATAACCACTGTAGAGTGGCTGGCTGGCCTCCTCTCCACGCTGTCCCAGGTCCAGAGACCCTGTCCTTTATGATAAGCAGTGTAGTAAGGGCTGTAGGGAGCAGCCTGGCCAGAATTGCATCTCTGTGTCACTGGAGGCAAGTTAGCAACATCTCAGAGCCTCAGTGTGTTCTATAAAATGGGGAGACTGATGCTCAACCCCTGAAACTAAATTAAATGAAATGTGCGCGTGGCAGGTGCTGCTCCTCGCTGCAGCACTACTGGGTCACCATCCTTATCCAGATGGACTCCAGGGGCCCTCTCACTGCCTCCCACATAGCCTGTGCCCATCTCAGTGGAGATGCTGGGCTCTCTGGACCCTGTTAGGCCTGGGCCCCAGCCTTCAGCTGAGCACACCCAGGGAGAGACACACACTCCCAGTGGGAATGTGGATTACTTCAGACAGGATCCCAACTGGAGGGTTTCTTTTTGTTGTTTGTTTGTTGTTAATGTGGTGCTGGAGATGGAACCCAGAGCCTTCCACATGCTAGGCAGGGACTCTCCCATGGATCCACACCCCCAGCCCCCAACTGCAGATTTTTGGCAGAATCTCCAGAGTTTGCAGAATTGGAGAATGGGTTTCCTGGTGATTGTGACCCATGTGGTGGGCCCTAGGACAGGGATGGTGGGGGGGATGGTACTGGTGTCAGGAGACCAAAAGCTAGGACCCTGGGGTGCAAGGGCTAGGGCAGTGGCATCCAAGACAAGTCAGGGTGCCGAGGGGACATGGGAATCATTTTAGGAATGAGAGGTGACTGGAAGCCCCTCCTTCCCTTCCCCTGTCACCTGTGCCCTTAATCAGCAGTTACATGCTTCAGCATGTCCTGTTACAACAATGCAGAGCGGGTCAGGGAGGCTGTTCTCCATTTCATAGATGCGGAAACTGAGACTCAAGAGGCACGTGTTCAAGGTCGTGAGCCGGTCAGGGTGGTCAGAAGTTCAAAACAGGTCATTCTGGCTCCTGAGCCTGGGGGTTAGATGCTCAGGCTCCAAAGATGGCCTGTGGTTCTGAGGTCCCCAGACACTGAACTGGGTGAGGTGACCTGATTCTTCTGTGGAGGGGTCTTTCTAGAGCCCCGTGTTTTCTGAACAAGAGAGGGGAGAGTTGGGGAGGGAGGCGTCTCAGGGGTCATGTTTTTTGGGGTTGTGAAGGAGGTGCTGCTGCTGGTCTGGAACCCTGGAGGACAGCCGTAGGAGTTGGGAGGCTGGCAGTGGAGACCCTCATGGTAGCTGGTGGGCAGCGGGCTGCCTCGGCTCCACCTCCTTCCCTGCCTTAGCCAACTTCCCAGGGCTCCAGTGTCTCCCTC